CCGACACAGAAGAAGACGAACAGGATGACATTGAGATGACACTTGAAGGGAGTGATGACCAATCTATGTCAAGTCCGGCCCATCCTAGTGGATCGATACATGATGATGCACCAAGTCCGAGAATACAGGACTTTGACCAGGCTCCTCACTCTGAATGGATCAAAATCGAACCACAGGATATCTATGATATGGGAAAGTTTGCTCAAGATATACCAGATGACGAGCTTACTGATCACGAGGAACCTGACGAAGACGAAGAGACAGAGGGCTGGGTTGACCTGTTGAATTCTGCGACATCTGCACCCCCGGTATGCATCCAATCCTTGATAATGGTAGATCAATAACACCGAAAAGGGTTTCACGATGGGAGAAACAAGTGATGCCACGGAATATGACCAGGAGAAAATGTTTAAGCATCTGTAAGTGTTCCTATATACTTTGTGGATGAAACTTGATGTTGTTAGTGTGTTCTATTTGGACTCCCCGAGCTGTGCGCGACAAAATAATCTTAAAACCTCTACGTCAAATGAAGGCGAGATCGAAGAAAGGTAAATAAATCGATAGCTTGAGACTACTCACTCACCGCTACGCTTAGATTCACAACTATACGCAAGGATATACTAGCCCATGGTGGCCAAGTGACTACAGATGTCACAGATCCAAAGTTGACGCATGTGGTCTTGGACAATGATGACCTTAGCCGTCGAATCACATTGATGCGCCTCACCGAAAAGTGGGTCTTACCCCTTGTTGAGCTACCCATCTCTGACTGTATAATCATAGACCAAAGAGACGACGCTTCGTTATCTCGGATTACATTCCATATTGCATCGAGGAAGGGACGCTCGCAGACGAGGACCGTAAGTGCATTAGCACAGGAACGCGGCGAGTGCTTACATGACTCGTTTCACAGAATTCATTCCATGAAGGATATATAATAATTATGTATTCGTCCATGTGGATCGAGATTAAATGTATTGAGCAGAGTCAGAGTTGTAGTGCTAGTGGTGCTGGAATCGATGACTAAGCTGTCCCGGTGCCGATGTTTATAAGCGCGTCCATAAGTCAGCCAGCCAACCATCTTGCCTTCCTACCACAATCTTGATGAGTGCCGTGCAACCACCACAACAGCGTGAGGGCTCTCAAAGACCCGATTCCTCAACAAATACTCCACGCAGAGGCCGCGGACGTGGAAGAGGACGTGGGGGAGCTGACGGAAGACGACAACCCACCAACCGTTCTGGAGATGTCGAATCGGCTCCAAAAAGGGACGGACAATCATCTTCCCGCAATGCCCCTCCCACCCAATCATCTCGAACAAGAAAGTTTGGCGGCCAACTTTCGTCATCAACACCTGAAGCACCCGAAAATTCAAAAGAAGGTGCTTCTTCTTCTGGTAAACCCCGC